TCCAGAAAATCCTGCAAATCTCTTGGGAAGACAAGCGGACAAACGTCAGCGTGCTAGAAGAAGCAAAGACCACCAGCATTGAAGCGATGGTCCTCTGCCATCAACTCCGCTGGACCGGCCACGTTGTCCGGATGCCTGACCACCGTCTCCCAAAGCAGTTGCTCTACTCCGAACTTAAGAACGGAAAACGCCTTCCACCTGGAAATCAATGCCTTCACTGTGGGAGAAGATGCGGGTCAAGAATAGGACTCCACAACCACCTACAAACCCACAAAAATAGTCATCAAGGAAGACCATCTTACTCGTCCAACGAGGGATCGCCTAAGTAAGTAAGTAAGTAAGTAAGGTCCCCGTCCATTGTTGGTGGGGGTCACAGTATTTCTGGATGCAGGTGAACTGCAACTTCCAAAAATCTATGATTCTATGTGGTTGGAAAAGAGATTTAAAGATGGGCTCAAAGCCAATCTTAAAAACTGGCATAGACACTGAGAACTGGGAAGCCCTGGTCTTTGAGGGCTCCAGCTGGAGGTCAGCTGTGACCAGCAGTGCTGTAGAATTTGAAGAGTCACAAATGGAGGGCGAAAGAGAGAAACGTGCCAAGAGGAAGGCGCGTCAAGCCAACCCCAACCGGGACCGCCTTCCACCTGGAAACCAATGCCCTCACTGCGGAAGAAGATGCAGAGCAAGAATAGGGCTCCACAGTCAGCTATGGACTCACCACCAGTACACCGATCTTGGAAGACAATCCTACTCAGACAACGAGGGATCACCTAACTAACTAACTTTCATTATTCTATGATTCTAAGAACACGCCTTGTTTATAACTTGGGGACTACCTGTATATCGATTGTTGTGGATGTGTATGGAGTTATGGTGGCCTCATGAATTCATTCAAAGTTTTCTTTCTTAGACAAGTCAGACTCAGGGGAGGCTTGGTCAGCCTTCAGCACCTTCCAAGGACTAACCAGGGCTGGCTCTGCTTCGCTTCCACGTCCAGATCTGTTCCCTTTTATTTCCCAGGAGGGCCCGCAGCTCCTGCAGTCCTTGGCCATCGGCCTCCTTCTTCCAAGGCCTCTTCTTCCAAGGCCTATTCAGCACCTTCCAAGGACTAACCAGGGCTGGCTCTGCTTCGCTTCCACGTCCAGATCTGTTCCCTTTTATTTCCCAGGAGGGACCGCAGCACCTGCAGTCCTTGGCCATCGGCCTCCTTCTTCCAAGGCCTCTTCCCTGGAGAGGTCCAGGCTCCTTTCTCACACCGCATCATGGAAAGAGGAGCTGAGCCAAGCGGCAGGGAGGTGACCGCCTCCAGTATCTGTGCCAAAGGAGGAGAAGGAGGAGGAAGAGGCGGAGGAGGAGGAGGAGGAAAAGACTGGCCTTCAAAACCCTTCAGTCCCAATCAGAGCACAAAGGAGATGCAGTGTCCAGTCCATCCTCTTCAGTTTCTCCTATCACTTCATCACATGCATTATTACTACTGAGCCACCCGCTTAAGAAACGGCAACCTACAGTGTTCATCCCATGACGTAGGTTTCAAGCGTAGGGTCGAGATATCTTGGCGTTTAAAAAGGATCGCAAAGGGCTATGTTTTCAGATGCTTTCTAAGCCGGTTGGCAAGTGACTTTTTTGGCAAGTTATCCAGATAGTTATTTGTTTATTTATTGTCTCAGAAGCAAATCAAGGGTACAGTTGTAATGTATTTTATAAACACAAGTTTCAAAACTTGGCATTATACTCAATGTCCTTTGACCAGAAGCTGGCCGCTTGGAGTGCCTCTGATCAGGCATGTAGCCGGGGGGGGGGGGCTCGGGGGGCTTCAGCCCCCCCCCCCCCCGAAATTTTCATGGTGGTTCGCGAAAAGGCCTTACTGGTGCATTATTTAAACTGTTATGTTTATTCATATCATGATCTGATCACCATACTCAATATATCCCATATGCATGGGGGTATTGGGGTAATGATACAAAAGGTTTGCTAGGCTAGACCCTCTTTCACTCAGACTCAGCCCCCCCAAAACTCAGCCCCCCCCCGAAACCCCCCCTGAAAAAAATTCAGCCCCCCCCCCCCGAAACGAAATCCTGGCTACGGGCCTGCCTCTAGTGCACTGTGAGAAGGTCCTCCATTGTGCATGTGGCCGGGCTCGGATGGCATTGTAGTAGGTGGTCTGTGGTTTGCTCTTCTCCACATTTGCATGCTGGGAACACCACTTTGTGGCGCCATTTTGGCATGGCATCCCGTGGTACCAGAGCGCAGTCTGTTCAGCGCCTTCAAAGTTGCTCAGCCTTCTGTGTGCTGACGAAAGAGTCTCTCATTTGATATCAGCCATGGATTGAGGTTCGGGGTTTGAGCCTGCCACTTTTGGACTCTTGCTTGCTGAGATGTTCCTGTGAGTATCTCTGTAAATCTTTGAACACTATTTCTTGATTTAAGGCATTGGCGTGCTGGCTGATATCTGAACAGAGGACGGGCCGGAGATATCACTGACTTAGTCATTTCACTCCACGCTACTACTACCCGGCAGATGTCAGATGGTACAATACCAGCTAAACAGTATAATTTCTAGGTTCTTGTGGGTTTTTTCGGGCTATAGGGCCATGTTCTAGAGGCATTTCTCCTGACGTTTCGCCTGCATCTATGGCAAGCATCCTCAGAGGTAGTGAGTATAATTTCTCCTGTGGTGTAGGGCATAGACATCCTGTGATAATGCGACATGTCTAATTCAGAGCCACATCCACTGTTTTAGCGTGGTGAGAAGTGTTCCACACTGGACATGTGTACTCAGCAGCAGAATAGCAAAGCACAAGAGCCGATTTCTACTGGTCAAAGGACATTTAGCATAATGCCAAGTTGTAAACTTTGTGTTTTTTAAAAATACATTACAATTGTACCTCTGCTTTGCTTCTGATATGATAAATAAATAGGTGTTCAATGTATTATCGAAGGCTTTCATGGCTGGAATCACTGGGTTGTTGTAGGTTTTTTCGGGCTATATGGCCATGGTCAAGAGGCATTCTCTCCTGACGTTTCGCCTGCATCTATGGCAAGCATCCTCAGAGGTAGTGAGGTCTGTTGGAACTAGGAAAAGGGGTTTATATATCTGTGGTTTATATATCTAGGCACTGTCAGGCCATTATATGCTAATCAAGGTGGTCAGTTGAAACATTCACACCTAGCTCCAGCAGACAAGAGTCCTTTGTCTCACCCTGGTCATTCCACAGATATATAAACCCCTTTTTCCTAGTTCCAACAGATCTCACTACCTCTGAGGATGCTTGCCATAGATGCAGGCGAAACGTCAGGAGAGAATGCCTCTAGACCATGGCCATATAGGTTCTTGTGGGTTTTTCGGGCTATAGGGCCATGTTCTAGAGGCATTTCTCCTGACGTTTCGCCTGCATCTATGGCAAGCATCCTCAGAGGTATTGAGGTCTGTTGGAATTAGGACAATGGGTTTATATATCTGTGGAATGGCCGGGGTGGGGCAAAGAGCTCTTCTCTGCTGGAGCTAGGTGTGAATGTTTCAACTGACCACCTTCATTAGCATTTGAAGGCCTGGCTGAGCCTGGGAAAATCTTTTGTTGAGAGGTGTTAAGATGTGCCTGGTTGTTTCCTCTCTGCTGTTTTGCTGTTGTAATTTTAGAGTTTTTTAATACTGGTAGCCAGATTTTGTTCATTTTCATGGTCTCTTCCTTTCTGTTGAAATTGTCCACATGCTTGTGGATTTCAATGGCTTCTCTGTGTAGTCTGACATGGTGGTTGTTGGTGTGGTCCAGCATTTCTGTGTTCTCAAATAATATGCTGTGTCCAGGCTGGTTCATCAGGTGCTCTGCTATGGCTGACTTCTCTGGTTGAAGTAGTCTGCAGTGCCTTTCATGTTCCTTGATTCGTGTTTGGGCAATGCTGCTGCATGTGGTCCCTATGTAGACTTGTCCACAGCTGCATGGTATACGGTAGACTCCTGCAGAGGTGAGAGGATCCCTCTTGTCCTTTGCTGAACGTAGCATTTGTTGGATTTTCTTGGTGGGTCTGTAGTTTGTATGTTGTGTTTCCTCATCAGCTTCCCTATGCGGTCAGTGGTTCCCTTGATGTATGGCAGGAACACTTTTCCTCTGGGTGGATCTTCATCTTTACTCTCGTGGCTTGTTCTTGGTCTTGCAGCTCTTCTGATGTCTGAGGTGGAGTCTCCATTGGCCTGGAGAGCCCAGTTGAGGTGGTTCAGTTCATCTTGGAGGAGGTGGGGTTCGCAGATTCTTTTTGCATGGCCATATAGCCTGAAAAAACCTACAACAACTCAATAAATAGGTGTTTGATTCTCAGGAAATCAGAGAATACAACTTTGCTGTGTGGAAACAGTCTTCCGTTCATGTTGCCAAGTTTTCAAGTCTTTGGTTCTTGTAATGCCAAGATTTTTGTTTCATGTTCATGCCTTTGCCTATGTACCTTAGAAGAGTTTGGCCTGGATTAAGTTTAACACAAGTTTCACCCCAATTGCTGTAAAAATGAGGGAGAAAGGAGCCTCCGAAGTTTCCCCATTTGCACAATGCAAAATTTTGTTACTCTTGTTATAGTCACAAAATTTTCACTAACGACACTTTGGAAAGACTTTAGAAACAAAATGCCGGTGCTCCCTAATTTTGCAATAGGCTTTGAATTTTTTGTATTGTCGAAGGCTTTCATGGCCGGAATCACTCAGTTCTTGTGGGTTTTTTCGGGCTATATGGCCATGTTCTAGAGGCATTTCTCCTGACGTTTCGCCTGCATCTATGGCAAGCATCCTCAGAGGTGAGGTCTGCTGGAGCTGGGAAAAAAGGGGTTTATACCCCTTTTTTCCCGGCAGACCTCATCTCTGAGGATGCTTGCCATAGATGCAGGCGAAACGTCAGGAGAAATGCCTCTAGAACATGGCCATATAGCCCGAAAAAACCCACAAGATTTGAATTTTTTTTCATCCATCACACAGCCCTTAATATCCTCTCTTTTTCCTCTTGTTTCTCTCCCAACAGCTTTGACATTGAGAATGGCTTTTCTCCAGGCCGGAGCCCGCTGGAGTCCTTGGCCAACCCAAGCCTGGGGCTGGTGGTTCAGGGATCCGCTTTGCATGGACAGCGCCGGGAATCGTTCCTCTACCGTTCTGACAGCGACTATGACGTCTCCCCAAATGCCATGTCCCGTAATTCCTCTGTGGCCAGTGAAATGTAAGCACATGGAGTCTGCTCTGTTGTGGGATGGGAGGCACACGTTAATGACAACAGAACCAAATGCTCCTCACCTGCGCATGAAAAGCTCCAACTCCATTTGAGCAACCTTGAATGGGCAAAAACGTTTGACTCTTCTGTTGGAGAGTATCTTCATACATGCACACGAGTTTCTGTATCTCTAGCATGCTTTATTTCCTTCTTTTCAGGCATGGAGAGGACCTGATTGTGACCCCCTTTGCACAGGTAGGGGATCTTTTGAGAGATAAAGTGGGCGAGAATGGGCTTGCATCAATCAGGGGCTGCCTCACTAAGATTGAGTTAATGATTGAAGCTGATAAGGCAATATTTATTATTATTATTATTATTATTATTATTATTATTATTATTATTAAAGGTAAAGATTTCCCTTGACATTAAATCTAGTCGTGTCTGACACTGGGGATTGGTGTTCATCTCCATTTCTAAGCCAAAGAGCTGGTGTTGTCCATAGATGCCTCCAATGTCATGTGGCCAGCATGACTGCGTGGAGTGCCATCACCTTTCCGCCAAAGCAGTATCTATTGATCTACTGAATGTTTTTGAACTGCTAGGTTAGCAGAAGGTCGCAGGTTCGATTCCGGGGAGCGGCGTGAGCTTCCGCTGTCAGCCCTAGCTTCTGCCAACCTAGCAGTTCGAAAACATGCAAATGTGAGTAGATCAAGAGGTACCACTCCGGTGGGAAGGTAATGGCGCTCCATGCAGTCATGCTGGCCACATGACCTTGGAGGTGTCTATGGACAACGCCGGCTCTTCGGCTTAGAAATGGAGATGAGCACCACACCCCAGAGTCAGACATGACTGGACTTAATGTCAGGGGACAACCTTTACCTTTACCTAGGTTAGCAGAAGCTGGGGCTAACAACGGGATCTCACTCTGTCTGCAGAATCGAACCACCGACCTGCCAATCAGCAAGTTATGCAGCTTAGCAATTTAACCTGCTGTGCCACCGTGACCCCATTATTATTATTATTATTAATAATAATAATAATAATAATTTTTCTTACCCGCCTCTCCTCATGACTCGAGGTGGGTGACAGAATAATTAAAATATGTAAACATTGTAAAAATACCACAAATAAACATAACCACTTTGAGTCCCCTTTGGGAAGAGAAAGCGAGGGATAAATATAAGGAGGAGGAGGAGGAGGGATCACAAGCCTGATAAAGTTACTCAAAATGAACACATCAAACTACTCTGGGACTTTTGAATTCAGACTGACAAGAGTTTTGGAGCACAAGACTCCTGACCTCATGATCATGTTAAAAAACAAAGTATGGATCGTCCATGTTGAAATCCCAGGTGACAGCAGGATTGAAGAGAAACAACTAAAAAACTAACACGATATGAGGATTTAAAGATCGAACTGCAAAGACTCTGGTACAAGCCAGTAAAGGTGGTCCCAGTGGTGATCGGCACACTGGGTGCAGTGCCTAAAGACCTTGGCCTGCACTTAAACACAATTGGTGCTGACAAAATTACCACCTGCCAGCTGCGGAAGGCCACCTTAGTGGGATCTGCACGCATTATTTGCCGATACATCACACAGTCCTAGACACTTGGGAAGTGTCTGACGAGTGATCCAATACAACAGCCAGCAGAGTGATCTTGTCTGCTGTGGACTCATCTTGTTGTGTTTCAAATAATAATAATAATAATAATAATAATAATAATAATAATAATAATAATAATAATAACAACAACAACAATACATTTTAATACTATTAACACAAGCCAACAAGTATTTTTAATCAGATGTAATTTTAGGTCATTCTTATAGATTTTTTGCACTGAATCCAGATATGTATTTATTTTTTCTCTATCACGTATAGTTTTTGTGATGAGGCGAATCGGATAATTAATGCATTTTCACACTGATTTCAGTAGAATCTAATGGGACAGCAGAGGAGTAATTGGGATTATCTCTTCCAAATCTGAGGTTATGACAAAGCAGTGACACGAATGAGAAAAATAATGACATGAGATATAGTTAGCCTTACATCAACGACCTGCTGAACAGTGTTTGGAAATAATATTGGAATGCCGGGAACAAAATATTTAAGTCCTTAATTCTCAAAGAAAGTATTCACAATGGGATTTTGGCCTGCATCAATAGGAGCATGGTGTCTAGATCTAGGGAAGTCATGCTCCCCTCTATTCCGCCTTGGTTAGACCACACCTGGAATATTGTGTCCAATTCTGGGCACCACAATTCAAGAGAGATATTGACACGCTGGAATATGTCCAAAGGAGGGTGACTAAAATGATCAAGGGTCTGGAGAACAAGCCCTATGAGGAGCGGCTTAAGGAGCTGGGCATGTTTAGCCTGAAGAAGAGAAGGCTGAGAGGAGATATGATAGCCATGTATAAATATGTGAGAGGAAGTCACCGGGAGGAGGGAGCAAGCTTGTTTTCTGCTTCCCTGGAGACTAGGACGCGGAACAATGGCTTCAAACTACAAGAAAGGAGATTCCATCTGAACATGAGGAAGAACTTCCTGACTGTGAGAGCCGTTCAGCAGTGGAACTCTCTGCCCCGGAGTGTGGTGGAGGCTCCTTCTTTGGAAGCTTTTAAACAAAGGCTGGATGGCCATCTGTCGGGGTTGCTTTGAATGCAATATTCTTGCTTCTTGGCAGGGGGTTGGACTGGATGACCCATGAGGTCTCTTCCAACTCTATGATTCTATTCAGGATCGGGTAGGGTGTGTTGCCTTTTGGGGTATAATTTTATGTCCTGAATTCCTTCCTTGCTCCAGGTCCTGGCCAGCCTTCAAACAGTGAGAAGCAACTTCACCGTTGTAACCAATGTGCAGCAAGAGCGCAGCAGTAACAAGTAAGAGGGTAGCAAAGGGGAGAAAGAGATGGGATATGGGAATCCGATGGGACAGACCCATTGCCATCCACCTCTGCCTCTTTTGGGGAGCCTATTGGCCATCAGAATTTGATTCCTTGTTGTTCAAGCGGCGGTCAGGTGGAAAGATCTGAGTGTGGGTTGAGTACACAACTGACCGGAAGACCTAACAAGCAATGAAGTCCAAAGGTCTGGCATCTTGGCAAATGGGGAATGTTGTCTCTCCATTATTCTATGCAACCCAGCATAGAAGAACCCATATGGTGGTTTCTTAGGAAACACGCCAGGCCTTCCTCTGATATATTGCTGTGTATATGCAATTGTGACAATGTTACAAATTATTTGCATCTAATCAATAATAATAATAATAATAAAACCCCCAAACCCCAGAGATGACACAAGCAAAGATGGAGTATAAAAAGAACCCCCTCTTCTTTGCATGTATTGTATATTCCCTGACCACATGGCACCACCTACTGTCTGAAACAGCATCATTCAGGGGAAAGTGTCTATATGATCTTATTTATTTATTTATTTATTTATTTATTTGCAGTATTTATATTCTGCCCTTCTCGCCCCGAAGGGGACTCAGGGTGGATCGCAAAACATACATACGCGGCAAACATTCAATGCCATTTTATACACAAACAAGACAGACAATGGTACATAGAGGTATATGTTGGCTTTTCCCATCTTTGGCATCGTATTTATTTATTTACAACATTTATATGCTGCCCTTCTCACCCTGAGAAGCGGCTTACAAGATATATATACATACAATATATTATATTATTAGTATAGTAAAAATATCAGTATTATATATTACTATATTGTACTATACCATTATATTGCAATATTATTAGTAATATTACATGTAACATAAAATATATAATTATAATATCATATTATTTCTATTATATTGTATAACATTATATATATATATATATATATATATATATATATATATATTACGACATTTATATGCCACCCTTCTCACCCCGAAGGGGACTCAGAGTGCCTTACAAGGTATATATACATACAATATATTATTAACATAGTACAATATCAGTTTTAAATATTGCTATATTGCACTACATCAATTATACTGTAATATTATTAGTAATATTACATGTAATATAAATATATAATTATAATATATTATTAGTAGTAGTATTATATTGCATTACATTACATATATATATGCAATATATTACATTACATTACATTACATTACATTATTAGCCTAGCACAGGAGACAAGGTGGAACTGTCCCCTGGCCCCCTCTCTCTTCACTCTGGCCCAGAGCGGCAGTTAGTGCTTTTGTGCTCAGTTCCATTGTTGTCACTCCATTTCCCAAATGTGATCTGTTCATCTCTAATGACCCTTTCACTCCCCCCTTCGATGCTCCGACTCCTGTAGCATCACCCTTGTTTGGTAAACATTGCAAATAAGGCAATTTCATGATCCTGAGTAATAACGTGATTCACAGTATTTTGAAGGAATTTAACAATTATAGGTAAGGTTGTTGTAGGTTTTTCGGGCTGTATGGCCATGTTCTAGAAGCATTCTGTCCTGACGTTACGCCTGCATCTGGGGCAGGCATCCTTGAGTCCCCCTAGGGGTGAGAAAAGCAGTATATAAATGCTGGAAATAAAATACGAGGGGTATTTTTTAAGTAAGGTCCGTTGGAACATAAGTACACAACGAAAGTTTATTTCAAAAAAGTAAATTTATTTTCAGAAAGTACATACTTTACTCTATTTTTCGACATAGTTGCCAAGTTTGTTCAAACACTTATCATACCTCTGAACCAATTTTAAAATACCCTCTTCATAAAAACTCGCTTCAACTCAAGCCACCAAATCGTCTGTAATCAAAGAAGGCCGACCGGAGCGGTCCTCATCATGGACGTTGTCACGGCCATCTTTGAATTGTCGTACCCACTTACGCACTTTGCTTTCACTCATAACAGTATTACCGTACACTTCACAAATCTGTCGATGAATTTCTGCAGCAGGCAGGTTCCTTGCTGACAAAAACCGTATCACTGAGCGAACCTCACATGCGGAGGGTGAGTTGATAGTCTTAAACATTTTTAAAGCACAGAACAGAACCGTACAGGTTAGCTACAGAGCGGAAACTGAGCACAGTTGTTCCCAAGGCATGCCGGTACACGACGCACGCGCTCGTTGCGGTATGCACGCAAACTACTAGTGTCTACAACAAAACGGACCTTACTTAAAAAATACCCCTCATAAATAATTGTGAGTTCTTTTGGAAACTAGGAAAATTGGGTTTATATATCTGTGGAAATTCCAGGGTGGGGGAAAGGACTCTTGTCTGTTGGAGCTAGGTGTGAATGTCTCAATTGGCCACCTTGATTAGCATCTGATGGCCTGACAGTTTTTAGGTGTGCCTTGTTACTTCCTGGGGGAATTCTTTGTTGAGAGGTGATTAGCTGTTCCTGATTGTTCCTTGTCTGGAGTTCTCCTGTGTTTGAGTTTTGTTCTTTATTTATTGTTATAATTTTAGAGGTTTTTTTAATACCGGTAGCCAGATTTTGTTCATTTTCATGGTTTCTTCCTTTCTGTTGAAATTGTCCACATGCTTGTGGATTTCAGTGGCTTCTCTGTATAGCGTGACATGGTAGTTGTTAGAGTCGTCCAGCATTTCTATGTTCTCAAATAATATGCTATGTCCAGGTTGGTTCAACAGGTGCTCTGCTATGGCTGACTTCTCTGGTTGAAGTAGTCTGCAGTGCCTTTTGTGTTCCTTGATTCGTGTTTGGGCAATGCTGCTGCGTTTGGTGGTCCACAGCTGCATGGTATCCGGTAGACTCCTGCAGAGGTGAGAGGATCCCTCTTGTCCTTTGCTGAATGGAGCATTTGTTGGATTTTCTCAGTGGGTCGGTAGATTGTTTGTATGTTGTGTTTCTTCATCAGCTTCCCAATGCGGTCAGTGGTTCCATTGGTGTGTGGCAAGAACCATACATCAGTTATAAGTAAGCAGCACAACAATAGCACTGGAAGCAATCCCAAGAAGCAGGACAACAGAAAAAGGTCTTTTATCCATTGGGTGAAGGGTAACCAACCCATTAACCAATCAAAAAGGGGGACTTGTCCCTTCAGTATTGTGTTGTATCATCTTTTGCAAGCTGCTTGTTTTAAGGAGTGGGGGAATCTCTCTGTGACCATGTCTTGATCCCTGGGCCTCAAAAGATGATGTGTTTTTCAGGAAAGCCTCCAGCCCGCCTCCACCCAAAGTCAACCTTCCTGGTAAGTGCTTCTACTGTGTGAGGATCTGTGGGATGCATTTTGAACTCGGTCTTGATTCCTTTCAACAGACCGGTAAGGTGAGCCAAAGAGAGGGTTCGTGGTGTGATAATACGATGATATAAATCAACTCCTGTGCGCCTTGGAGAATTATTTTGGAGAGAAGTCTAACTCTATAGCAACACATCCGATGCACAAAGGGACCTTTACAATTTGTTCAAAATACATGAATCATGCTCTATGGTCCATATAGATGGGACTTACCCTATAATGTCATCAGTCACTGAAATCCTCTGATGGTCGCCCTTCTCCCACACATCAGAGCCATTGATCAATCCTACCATGCCATCAATATGTATGGAGCTGACACCCATCATGTGTAAGTCCCCCTTTTCCCCTGGACATCAAAGTAATTGATTGGTCTTTATGGCCAGCTGATGGCACCTTCCCGTTTCCTGCACCGTTTGTCCATATGCTATGCAACTGCACCTTGGATGTCTTAGTTAAAATGACATGATTGTGACAGGATGGTCCAAAGTGTGGCTGGATGTGTTCCCAGACATCCACAGAAGCGAGAGAAGCGAGTCAAGTCTCGTATTCAAGCTAGTGCTCCTTTGAGTATAATTTTTCTGCTTTCTGCAGAAGATGTTGTCCATAAATTGGCCATGGACACACTGGAGGAGCTGGATTGGTGCCTGGACCAGTTGGAAACACTGCAGACCCGCCACTCGGTCAGCGAGATGGCCTCCAATAAGGTGAGGAACCCAACATTTACTCCTTCTGAGCACAGCAGAGAGCTGACCCCCCAAGCCTCTAGAAAGCTGGCACATCCAGCTTTATGTTATAGAGAACAAGAGCAGGGGATGTAACCTACTGTCATAATCCTGTAGTTTGCACTTCTATGAAAGGTCATGAGTTCAAAGCCAGCCCGGGTTGGAGTGGGTTTCCAACCAATTGTGTAGCTTGTTGTTGACCTTTGCAACCCAAAAGACAGTTGCATCCAGGGGCGGTTCGTCCATTACGCGAAGTAAGCAGTCGCAGAACACTTTTTTTTGCCAGGGGCGCAGAGGCGCCTCTGTAAATGCCCCTCGACCGCCACTTGAGGAGCGCCCCCTCAGCTCACAACAGTCCTAGCAGTCCGGGGGGAGCCTCGGCTTTCTTGCCTCGCTGCCAGGTGATCATCTTCCCAAAGGGGCCAGGCCCTTGAGCCTCGCCTAGCCCCTTTCATTCCTGCTCCACCTGCCACCGGGTGCGCGAGCAAAGCCGGCGCTCAATCGTTCATCGCGTTCGATTCCTTCCCCATGACCGGCTCCCTTTCCCAATCCCCGGCGCTTCACCCGCCTCCTCTCCTCTCCTCAATCTGCGGGTGGGCCAAGGGGCGGAGCCGCCGTGCCTGGCCCGCTTCAGGTCCGGAGGTGTGTCTGAAGACCCCAGCATGCGCACCAAAAGTCGCCTCTTCTCCTGACTTTCTCTTCAGCCATTGGGACCAAGAGAGAGAGAGAGCCCCTCCAGCTGGAGGTATCTCCCACCTCCGCTCCCTCCTTTGTTTTTGCGCCTACCTTCAGGAAAGGTGGGCATCTCCACCTCTCTCTCTCTCTCTCTCTCTCTCGGTCCCAATGGCTGAGGAGAAAGTCAGGAGAAGAGGTGACTTTTGGTGCACACGCCGGGGTCTTCAGGCACGCCTCCGGACCCAAAGCGGGCCAGGCAAGGGAGCAAGTGCGGCAAGTGTAGTTACTGGGATGTATAGTTCACCTACAATCAAAGAGCATTCTGAACTCCACCAATGATGGAATTGAACCAAATATGGCACACAGAACTCCCACGATGAACAGAAAATATATATCAATGATTGGGTGGGGGGGGCGCCAAAATACTGTTTGCTTACCGTTGAAAATGACCTAGGGCCGCCTCTGGTTGCATCTGTCAAGTAGGAAAATTAGGTACCACCTTAAAGTGTGGGGAGGCTAAATTAACTAATTTATGAGGCCATAAAAAAGGACTCCGGCAGAGCACTCCAGCGGAAGCATGCGGGGAATGCGGAAGTACTTCATCAGTGTCGCAGATGGACCATGAAAGCGACAGCTCCCCTGGCAGCCAGAAAAAGTTAAATAGCCTCTGTGTATGTCTGTATATGTTGTATGTTAAAATTGGCATTGAATGTTTGCCATATATGTGTACACTGTCATCCGCCCTGAGTCCCCTGCGGGGTGAGAAGGGCGGAATATAAATGCTGTAAATAAATACATAAATAAATATGAATCTGGAATTTTCTGCCACAGCGGGCTACAAGTTCCAGGATCTTGTTGTTAAAAGTATGAGCAGCATTGCTCTTCTCATTTAAAACACAGCCAGGATGGTTTACAACCTGCATGCTTCAGATTTAAAAGACTTCCCCCCCCCCCCACCTTTTCTCTTGACCTCTAGTTCAAAAGGATGCTCAACCGAGAGCTGACACACCTCTCCGAGACCAGCCGTTCGGGAAACCAAGTTTCCGAATACATCTCCAGCACCTTTTTGGGTAAGCAGTCGTTTTTGTTTTTTGTTTTATTGCAATCTGCAAAGGAAGGGCTCGTGGAACTAGTTCAGGTCTCACGTTATCATGGGTCATGAGTGTTAGAGAGAAATGGCATAGCATTTCTAGTCAAAGGAAAATATCGTTTGATGAACATGTGGAATATTGATAGGAGCTGAGTAATGACTGTGAATGTCATGATGCAATACTTTAGGGGGTGTAGTAATAATGGCTGAGTTATAACCATGTGAGGGTTATTGCAAAGGGGTTGCATCAGCCAGTATCCCTTACTGATGACCTATCAGCAGGTGGTCATATAAGGAGGATGAAAGAATAATAATAATAATAATTTTAAAAAAAACTTTATTTGTACCCCGCCACCATCTCCCCAATGGGGACTCAGAGTGGCTTACATGGGGCCAAGCCCGAACAAGAATTACAATATAACAATACAAATTGCAACAAAATAAACAACATAACATTAAAATAAAACATCAAAGCATATAAAACAATATACACAGAACATAGGAACAAAATGACAGAGGCCGGGCCACATGTACATAAAATGATTTTTAAAACCCCGGGTGAGATAAGGGGGAAGAACTCATTGTAAGGGAGAACTCATAGAGAGATAGGAAAATAAGCAAACCTACATACATGGGGGGGGGGGGACAATCCTGGGACAAGAACTATGGGAGAGCACTAGCATAAAATTATGTAGCTACTCTCCAAAAGCGCAACGGCAGAGCCAGGTCTTGAGACTCTTTTTAAAAGTTTCCAAAGTTTCCGGGCAATAAATTCCAGAGTCGGGGGGCCACAAAGGAGAAGGCTCTCTCCCTTGTACCCACAAGGCACGTCTGAGAGACTGGTAAGGGCAAATGGAGGGCCTCACCCGAAGCTTGAAGGGTTCGGGCTGGCTCATGGAGAGAGATGCTGTCACGAAGGTAGGTGGGTCCCAAACGGTTTAGGGCTTTATAGGTAAGAACCTGTACCTTGAATTGGGACCGGAAGATGAACGGCAGCCAATGGAGCTCCTTAAACAGGGGGGTTGACCACTCCCTGTAAGTCGCCCCAGTTATTAATCTGGCTGCGGACCGTTGAATATGTTGTAATCTCCGGGCCATCTTCAAGGGTAGCCCCACGTAGAGAATATTGCAATAGTCCAGTCTAGAACTAACTAAGGCATGGACCACTATGGTCAAGTCAGAGTTCACGAGGTATGGTCGCAGTTGGCGCACAAGTTTTAATTGTGCGAAGGATCTCCCAGCCACTGCCGACACCTATACATCAAGCGTCAGCGCTGAGTCCAGGAGGACCCCCAATCTGCGGATCTGCGACTTCAGGGGGTGTGCAACCCTGTCCAGCACAGGTTGCCACCCTGATCAGACGGGCGACTGAAATAATCCATCTTTCTTTCTCCTGTGTGACTTAGTGTGAGTATCTGCCTATGTTGTATATGACTATTTGAGAACTCTGATTGTTTCCCAGTACAAGTGTACCTGTGTATCTTGCTTTACATTTTGTATATATTGCAATGGTGAAGATTAAAGCCTCTGGATATTTTAGATGAAAACCTGAATCGGTGAGCTTACTAAACAGCGTATAGATAAGATTGGAGGCTTGCAGTTGGAGTATGCTGATAGACAGGATGAAGAATGTTGTTGCTGTGAAAGGACTCTGCTGTATTTTTGCTTGCTTCTGAACATTTGCTCTCCAGTTTGCAGCGGTTCAAGCAGGTATTGATTTGGAAACTATATATATATATATTATATATATATATATATAGGAAGCCATGTAGATCCGACTTGATATTATGGATTTTCTGCTTTCAATGTTGTGAATTTCTTGTCTTAATGTCATATATATAGTCATGTGTATAGGAAGCCATACCGACTGCATATTTATTTATTTATTGTGTCAGAAACAAATTGAGAATGCAGTTATAATGTATAGAAAAGTTAAAACATTGGCATTGTACTAAATTTTCTTTGACAGGAAGACAGCCACTTGCCTCTGGTGGCACTGTGAGAAGGTCCTCCATTGTGCATGTGACAGGGCTCAGACAGCATTGTAGTAAGTGGTCTGTGTTGCTCTTCTGTGAACTCACATGTTGTTAGTCCAGTTCTTCCTAATGTTCAATGGAATCTCCTTGCCTATCATTTGAACCCATTGCTCCAAGTCTGAGTTTCCATCCTTTCTTATTATTATTATTATTACTATTATCCTTTCACATACTTCTACATGGCAGTCATGTCTCCTCTCAACCTTATCTTCTGAGGCTAAACATGCCCAGTACTTTAAGATGCTCCTCAGAGGGAATTATTCATGGTCTCCTCCAGACCTTTGATCATTTTTAGTCGCCCTCTTCTGGACACCTTCCAGCTTAAAGTCAATCTCCCTTTTGAACTGTGCGGCCCAGAATTAGACACAGTCTTATTTCAGTTTAAAAGGTCTAACCAAAGCTGAAGACAGAGGCACCATGACTTCCCATGATCTGGACACTCAACTTCTTTGGCTGCTGCCCAAAATCCCATTGGCTTTTTGAGCTGCTACATCACACTCTTGTCTCACGTTCAACTTGTCCTCCATGAAGACTTCAAGATTTTTCTCACACGGACTGTTGTCGAGCCAGGCATCATGCTTCCTGTGTCTTTACATTTCATTTTTTTTTTTGCCTAGGTGTCGTATCTTACATTTGTCCTTGTTGAAATTCATTGTGTTCGTTTTGGCCAATCAGTTCTCTCATTTGTTCAGGTCATTTTGAATTGAGTCATTGATCAGTTGAGGAGGCCTCCAGTTTTTTCCCACAGCTTAATTCAGGAGATGGCATCAAAAGCAGCTTGAAAGCCTGTGAAGGCAACACAGAACGAAGAGTTTCCTCACGTAATAGTCGCATGGCCATTTTGGAGGGGGGAAAAGCTCTCACTCCTAACTTGGTCCCATCTGTAAACCTGATTAGTAGACCCACTAAATCTTTATCCAAGTCATTAATAAAGATGTTGAACGGAACTGGGCCCAGGACCGAACCCTCTTCATGGCCCCCAAATAGTCAGCTTTTCCAGGATAAGAAGAGGAACCATTAAGGAGAAGCACCCTTTGGGTTCAGTTGCTCAATCAATTACAGATCCACCTAACAGTGGCATTGCCTACCCCACATTGGACTAATCTGCTTGTAAGAAGGTCATGGGGGGCTTTGTCGAAGACCTTCCTGAAATCAAGATCTGCTCCATCAACAGCATTACCAAACTTGTAATGCTATCAAAAAAAAGAGTTATGATTTCACTACCTCTGAAGATGCGTGCCATAGATGCAGGCAAAACATCAGGAGAGAATTCTCTAGAACATGGCCATATAGCCCGAAAAAAACCTACAACAACCCAGAGATATGACTTGTTTTTGAGGAATCCATGTTGACTTTTCGTGATTACACGAAGTGATTGCAGACTGCCTCCTTCAAGATCTGCTCCAGAATCTTTCCTGGTCTTGATGTCAGGCTGACTGGACATTGGTCATTGTTTGGGTCCTCTTTTTTCCCCTTCTTGAAGATCAGGACAATATTTGCCCTCTTCCAGTCTTCTTATGAGACTTCTCCTATTCTCCAAGAATTCCCAAAGATGATTGCCTGTGGTTCTGAAATGACTTCTGCTCATTCCTTCAATATTCGTGAATGTAGTTCCTCTAGCCATGAAGACTTGGATTCATTTAGAGTAACCGAGTATTCCCGGACTACTTCTTTACAAATTTTGGGTTGCATTTCCCTTATTACCTCGTGTTGAGTTGTTAGGCTCAAAAATAATCCTCAGTTGGGGTGATTCCACCATAAATATAGCAGAGCACCAGAAGTAAACATCATAACGTGTGGTGAACCAGGATAAGCTTCCATTCGACAGGATTGAATGGCACAGAATTGTAAAGTCACAACTTTAGGTTCAAAATATGTATTGAAGTAAAAAAAAAATCCATTCTCGATAGAAAAGGTCTTGGAACTAATTAGCTTACTAAATCTCATCTTCTAAGAAGTAAAGGCGTAAACAGTAAAATATATATATATATCCATGCAGTTACATTTTGCCTGGAGAGAGGCAAAATGCATCTTCACGAGAAGGAAGTAAAGGCAGAGAGAGCAACAATGGAGGATGACCACATGGCCAAACCCAAGGCAATAAAAATATATTTAAAGAGAAAGTTACCTCATACCTCACAGATATCCCATTGCTACATCTCCAAAGAGGGAGGAGATAGTGACAAGCACAAAGAGTAAAGACAAAGGCCCCTTTTGCCTCTATCATCAGTTGGGAAGCCTCTCCCCACTCTGGCACCAACTGCTGCTCTGGCCAGAGTGAAGACAGAGGGGAGCAGAAGACACTTCCATCTTGTCTTTACTAATAATATAATATATTATATTACATCTCCCTTCTAACCTCCGCTGGGAAAATCCTCGCAAGAATCCTTGCAAACCGCCTTCTGCCCCTCTCAGAAGACACCCTCCCAGAATCCCAGAACGGCTTCCGCTCCTCCAGAGGAACCGTGGACATGATCTTCACTGCACGACAGCTCCAAGAAAAATGCAGGGAACAAAACCAACCTCTGTACATGGCATTCATCGATCTTGCAAAGGCATTCGACACAGTGAATCGCAGCGCTCTCTGGACCATCCTCCAAAAAATCGGGTGCCCTAAGCAAATTTGTGAACATCCTGCGGCTCCTCCATGATGACATGATGGCAACAGTCTTGGACAGCAATGGCTCCCAAAGTGACCCATTTAAGGTGGAATCAGGTGTCAAACAGGGATGTGTTATTGCCCCAACTTTATTCTCCATCTTCATTGCTATGATACTTCACCTTGTTGATGGGAAGCTTCCCACCGGAGTGGAAATCATCTATCGGACAGATGGCAAGCTATTCAACCTCAGCAGACTGAAAGCCAAAACCAAGGTTACAACAACATCTGTTATAGAACTCCAGTATGCTGATGATAACGTTGTCTGTGCGCATTCAGAAGAAGATCTACAAGCCATTCTAAATACCTTCGCAGAAGCATATGAGAAGCTCGGCCTGTCATTGAACATTGAAGGTGCTGTTCCAGCAGACACCAGCCAACCCCTCTCCAATGCCAGTGATACAGCTTAATGGTGTAACATTAGAAAATGTTGATCATTTCCGCTACCTTGGCAGCCACGTCTCCACCAAAGTCAACATTGACACCGAAATACAACACCGCCTGAGCTCTGCGAGCGCAGCATTTTTCCGAATGAAGCAGAGAGTGTTTGAGGACCGGGACATCCGCAGGGATACCAAGGTGCTTGTTTATAGAGCTATTGTTCTCCCAACCCTGCTATATGCATGCCTGTGAGATGTGGACTGTCTACAGACGTCACATGCAACTCCTGGAACGATTCCATCAGCGCTGCCTCCGGAAAATCCTGCAAATCTCTTAGGAAGACAAGCGGACAAACGTCAGCGTGCTGGAAGAAGCAAAGACCACCAACATTGAAGCGATGGTCCTCCGCCATCAACTCCGCTGGGCCGGCCACGTGATCCAGATGCCCGACCACTATCTCCCCAAGCAGTTGCTCTATTCCGAACTCAAGAATGGAAAACGGAATATTGGAGGATGGGAAAAGAGATTTAAAGATGGGCTCGAAGCCAACCATAAAAACTCTGGCATAAACACTGAGAACTGGAAAGCCCTGGCTCTTGACCGCTCCAGCTGGAGGTCAGCTGTGACCAGCAGTGCTGCAGAATGTGAAGAGGCACGAATGGAGGGCGTAAGGGAGAAGCGTGCCAAGAGGAAGGTGCGTCAAGCCAACCCCGACCGAGACCACCTGGAAACCAATGCCTTCACTGCGGGAGAAGATGCAGAGCAAAAATAGGGCTCCACAGCCACATATGGACCCGCAAGAATACTGGAAGACAATCATCCTCGGAAAATGAGGGATTGCCTAAGAAAAAGAAGAAGAATATAATATAGTATATTGTTTAGACATATATTATTTATAATGTTATAATGTGATACAATATAATACTAGTAATATTAATACAATATTATAATTATAATTATATATTTACATTACATGTAATATTACTAATAATATTACGATATAATGGTATAGTGCAATATGGTAATGTCGAATACTGATATTGTGCTATGCTAATAATATAATATATTGTATGAAAAGATATCTTGTAAGCCGCTCTGAGTCCCCTTCAGGGTGAGAAGGGCAGCATATAAATGCCGTAAATAAATAAATTATATAATATAATGCCAAGTTTTCAAACTTTGATTGTGTGCAGGAAGGAGAGAAAGAAAGAAAGAGAAAGAGGGAAGGAAGGAAGGAAGGAAGAGGAAGGAAGGAAGGAAGGAAGGAAGGAAGGAAGGAAAGAGACAAGGAAGGATGGAACCAAAGAGCAAAGGAAGCGAGAAAGGAAACCGGTAGAGAAGGAATAAAGAAGAAGGAAAAGAGAAAGAGGGAAGGAAGGAAAGAGGGAGGGAAGGAAGGAGAGAAGGGAGAGAAGGAAGGAAAGAAAGAAGGGTAGAGAAGGAAGGAAGGAGGGAGAGAAAGGAAAGGAGGAGGGAAGGAACGAAAGAAGGAAAGAAAGAAAGGTAGAGAAGGAAGGAGGAAGAGAAAGAGGGAGAGAAGAAGGAGGGAAGGAGAGAAGGAAGGGAAAAAAGGATAGAGAAGGAAGGAAGAAGAGAAGGAGGGGGAGAAAGAAAGAAGGAGAGAATGAAGGAAAGAAAGAAGGGTAGAGAAGGAAGGAAGGAGAGAAGGAGGGAGAGAATGAAATAAAAAAGTGAAAGAGGGAAGAAAGGAGAAGGAAGGAAGGAAGGAAAGAGACAAGGAAGGATGGAACCAAAGAGCAAAGGAAGCAAGAAAAGAAACAGGTAGAGAAGGAAGAAAGAAGAAGGGAAAGAGAAAGAGGGAAGGAAGGAAAGAGGGAGGGAAGGAAGGAGAGAAAGAAAGAAGGAGAGAAAGAGGGAGGGAAGGTTGGCCACAACCACGCGTAGCGGGTACAGCTAGTAAATAAATAAATAAACATGCATAGGAATGTAGGGGAAGGAATCCTCACTCTA